CAACGCGGCCCCCGCCGCACACGCGGGAGAGCCGCCGCCGCGACACGACGTGAGGGGCCAGAGACACAGCCACGCCCGGGTAAGTTTTTGGACCAGCCCACGCTGTAATAAGTAGGGCCTAGAGCTGAAATTTTGGGGGGAAAAAAAACCAAAACCGCTTCCCTTGCATCCCAAAGTACCACCAAGGTTATTCTGTGGCATCCCCTGTACCGCCAAGTAACCCCTGTAGCACAATGCTCCTCGTTCTGTTGCATGTTCCCATGCTTGGAACAGAAGGCTCAAAATCTAAAGCTGAAGCTGTTCTGTGAAGCTTCTCAATGGCAGAAGCATCCTTCATTAGCCCTTACAAACAGGGCACAATTTAAGACAAACCACTTGCCAGGCGTTGTGGAGTCCATAAATCTTGGCTTTAACCAGCTACATGCTTCCTCTGTACCAAGAATAATAATAATAAATAATTACATTGCAGTGCTCGCATGGGAATAGGGGGAAGAGGACACAAAAGCGTGCAAGAAGTCAAGCTGTGTGACACAGCAGGGACTCTGGGGAGGAGGGGAGGCTTCAAAGTGTCTCACAAGAGAATCTTCCAGGCTCTGGAGGGGAAGGGGGACGGCAGGGCCAGCGCTCCCCAGGCCAGGGTGGGGCTCGTTCCCACACAAAGCCAGACTTCTCTAGCTCTTGCCTAATGGTGAAAGCAGTTACACCGGTATAGCTCTCCCTGACAAGACTGGCATTTTTCTGCTCTAAGTTCCATCTTGTTCCAGATGAAGGGAGACAGTTTACAACAGAATACACCACCATGAGTAACTACGTGCAGCTTCTCCATGTGTTGGAAAAACATCCTCTCCAGGCAGAATGAGAACATTTACATCTATGTAGCATTTAAGTCTCAGCTTTTGCTCTGACATCTATTCTAACAGGCCACCTTAAGTTTTACAGCCATTTCATGTGTCTGAGGACTGCTCAGCCCCCTTGTTTATTGGTTCCTTTGCTGATCAGCAAAACCACCCACTTCTAAGAAAGGTGAGGAGAAGCTGCCTGAATGGGGTTCTTCAGAACTAGGGTTCAACCCCTTATTTTAATTTTTAACAGGGACCATCAAAGACATACAGTTAGTTTTCCTTGCATAAGAAAGTGACTCTGAGATCTATCATACACACTGATCTTTAATTGTATACAGTAGAGGAACATACTTCATGGATAAGTCAGTAACTGTCCAAAAGGCCACGTTCCATTAGTGGTTTCACCAACCACGGTTTGAGAGTCACATTAAACAGTTGACACTCAGGCCCTTTCTGCATCACGTGGCCTGATCTCAAGGTTTTACACATCAGGCAAGACTTCTACACATGGTTTTTAGCTCTTTAAACCAAGTGCATAAAACTAAGCATGACCTCTCCTGCTTGAGATTAAATGCAGCACTTCTCTGCATATGCAGAACAGCAAGAAACCACAGCAGCATGTTTTGGAGCAAACTCTTATGGAGAACAGCTACAGGAGCAGGAGATACACGAGCCAGAACCCTCTTGAAAAACTATTTCCCTGCTTAAGCAGTGCAATAAATCCATGACCTCTCTCCAAGCATGAAGCCAATGCCCAGTGTGGAGAGGTGCCACTCTGGACCACATTTGGATTGCATTCCCTTGGACACAGGGCTCCTTTTTGCACAGAACAGCAGCCAGGACTCTGCAGCCTGGGGAGTTAGAAACCACAGCATCATCTTGGCATCAGTACCAAAAAAGAGCAAGTCAGTCTGGGGGGACTTTGGCTGAAGAAGATGATGCAAGACTTGCCCTAACAACTCTTAACAGATCCTATTTAAAACCAGGGTAAATACCAGACCAGTTAGGCAATACATCTGAACCTCTGTGCTGGAAGATTCAGAGAAAGCAAAGCAGCCCCTGCCAGCAGCTCACCTCTCCCCACTCTCACCCAACATCACAACCCAGAGCAGCAGCAAGCTCCCTTTTTTTTCAGAAGCAAGACAGACAGCTCATTCCTAAATCACTTAAAATTTCTTGGTGTGAAATTAAGAGTCTCACCCAGCATCACAACCCAGAGCACCAGCAAGCTCCCTTTTTTTTCTTTTCAGAAGCAAGACAGACAGCTCATTCCTAAATCACTTAAAATTTCTTGGTGTGAAATTAAGAGACTATCACTCCCTCCAGCACATCATCCCAGAAGTGCAATTAGGCCAGCACTTACATTTCTATTGTAGTACTTGTTGTATTTATTGCTGGTTTTAAAGATAGCCCAGCTCCTGACACTTTGTGCCTCTGAACATTTCAGCTTTGTCAGATAAAACAGCTCTCTAGCCCTCCTGTAATGCTCCAGCTGCCCAGCTTCCCTTTCCACAGCAACTCCTTTCAATGGCTCCACTTCAGATGGGTCATTCCAGAACCTCCTTGTTTGGGGCAGTGGAGACAACAATCATTTCAAACATGAACCAGCAGCTCCTGCAGTAGGGCTGAGCTCACTCTCCCCACCACCATTGACCTACCTGCTCTCTCTGATCACAGCTGGTGTCACCTGAGGATCAAGCACCTCCTGCCACAGTCCAACCTGCCACTGCTGCCAGCTCTCAGGTGAGCCCAGGATGGCCACATCCAGACTCCCTCCCCTCCAGGAAGGTTCAGACTAGCACACACTTAATCCTTGGCTCCCATTGAGCTTCTCTCCTCAGGTAAGAGCAGCTGGTTTGTGCTCCTCCCAGACAGTTCCCAAACCTATTTCTTTTTTCCACCCCTTCCCATAGGCCCTATAACTTGTTACAAGTGCTGACTGTACAGGTTCTGCCACAGGAGCATCAAAGTCTTTCCTACTTGATCATCTAACAGGAAATCACCCAGCACTCCCCCACAGCTGATTCCCTGAGACCACCACCTATCACAGTGCAGGCAAGAAAACACCTTCCCAGGAAAGAACAGGATTCTTTTGGCTCCTAAATCACTGATTTTCAGCCCTTCAAATGCAAGCACCCTACTGGTAACAGGCTAGCTAAAAAAAAACCCCACACCAACCTTCTAGAGTTAGCATTTTATGTGGTATTTTAGTAACTACAGCATCTAGTTTTTGGCAGTAGAACATTTCTGTTGTGCTACAAAAAGAACCCTGCCAGAAATTCTGCTACAATAGAAGCAGCTGAACCTTGGAACACCCCTGAGATCAGGGAGGGCAGTTTGAGAACAGGTAGGAGAAATGGAAACATTATCTCAGAGACTTTAACCTAATTTCAGGAACACTATCCAGGATAGGTAATGAATGAGGTATCAGTCAATTAAGTGATATTAAGCAAGAACATTAATATTCTAGGAAATAACAGACTACAGTCCTCAAATAAGAGGAAAAAACTGCCAAGGAAAACTTAGTCACTCGTACACCACGACAGACAGACAACTACAAAGAAGCAGGCCAGTCATTTCTTTGTTCTTTAATATTTTCACTTAGAATAATAATAATAAAAAAGAATTGAGGCATTTTTACTGTACATTCACATTCCTCCTCTCCCCAGTGTTTTGGTTTTCCTTTCAGGAGGCTCATAGCCCACTTGGCATCAGGTAGGAAGCTGATTTTCTTATTAGGTTTACATACAAGAAGGGACAGCTCTTTGATTTTACCTCACAGCAGAAAAACAAGTAGTTCTTGTGAGCCCCTGGGAAATGCTCTGAAGTCTAAAAAAGATCAGTGAACCCACAGGGGGAACATAATCAATAGAGGAATTCTGACACTCTTAGTGAGGGGATATTAAGGGGAAGATAGAGCACATCTATTGTTTTTCCAAATCAATGATTTTTTTTATCTTAATGTTTTACTGATTTCTTTTAAAATTCATTGTGAACAAACCCAGATATTACATGATGTTGTTTCAGCCAGGTTCTTTGTTTTGTCCCTTTTCTGCTCAGATTTTCAGCAAGTCTGATGGATGTAGTTATCTGAAACAGTGTCAATCATGTTACAGGTGATACTTCCAAGTCTATATGTTTTGCTCAACATTTCCATCTCATGCACTGAAAACCCAATAAAACCTTGGCCAAGTAAGCCTCTCAACCAAATATACAGGGTAATTCCTTCTCCCAGGAAACTCTGTTAAAATATTTGCTTCTCATCTTCACATTTTTACTTTGAGATGTAGTCAGAGGAATCATCAGCACTGAAATGTCACCTGAAGTCTGTGTTCTTAGGTCCTCATCTCACCCTTGCCACACAAGAGAAGAGCATGAGTTGTTTCTGGTTTTATTTTAAAAAGTTTTTAATTGGACTTGATGACTTTGAAGTTCTACATCACCTTTAAACATAAATAGTGTCCATTTTAAATATGTTTCACTACCATCCACCTGCAGATTCTTGTGAAGACAGCTACAGACTCTAGCAAAGGCCACTTCCCATGAGCTCTCACACTTTTATTCCTGAAAGAGAGAAAACATTCTGTAACCAATTATGTCAAGGCATGAAATTAAAAAACACTTCTTCAGTGAATTTGATTTTCTTCTGCTGTTGTGAACCATTCCTAGGAGATTGCTTTAAGTTATCATTGGTGCGCTGCATTTCCATTTGCCAATTTCATTGTTGAAGTGCTCTTGATTTTATGATCAAAGACCTTCCTAAGGCAAAAAAAAACATATATAACTTTTAGGAAAAGTTTAGGTGTAAGTCTATTGACAGCCAAATACATGCTGGAAAACTAATTCTAGAGAAGAGCTTTGGACATTCCATTAATTGACTGAGAAGTCTCCACTAATTGACTCAAAACTTTTAAGCAAGCAGCTTTTTTTCTGCTCTTCCCCTACCCTGATTTTTTTCTCCCTTTATTAAAAAACAAGCTACAAGGTAGAGAAGAGGCAACACCAACAGATATTGGAGATAAACAAAGAAGTTTTAGGGAGTCAGCTGTTTAGGGTGCCTGAAATCATGGAGGTATTTGAAACAATTTTCCAATATAAACCCCAGATTGATACAACTCTTGAACAAGTTATAAAAGGAAGTGCAGCACTGAGTCAAATGAAGTCTCCTTACCTGTCACTGGGATGAAGGAGATGACTGTGGCAGGGCACCCCCCAGGACAATGCTGTTTTTGTCAGTCAGGGTTTTCAGCACAGTGGTGGCTGGTGACTGCAGGATTTTCCGTGAGAGCCTCATCCTGCCATCAGTGGGATCACGTCCAAAGTATTTCACCTGTTAAAAAAACACCACTTCAAGAGCTGGAAATAGCATCTTCCTGAGAAGGTGGTGTGTTGTGGCAGTTGGGGTTGGGTGGGGTTTTTTGTTGGGCTTTTTTGTTGGTGTGTTTCTTTTTTTAAATTTGATTCTAGAAAAGCCATAAACAACAGGCATTGCTGAGCCTAAATTGCCCTGTCAAATTAATGAAGTGTCTAGATAGGAGTAATTTGAAATGAACAGGCCTTTAACCAGCACAGAAAAGGAACCAGGTGCAGCAAAATATTTTCTTCATAAACACAAAATAAAAAGCTCACTCAAATTCTAAAATGTTTTCAAGTTAAAAAAAAAAATTACCTGAATTTCTTGTCCAACTTCTAATCCCAAGGCACTAGGATGTTTTATCTAGAACAGAGTGATTTTCAGAAAAAGATTATTTCAGTGTGATTAATTTTTTAAGGTTAGTTGTAAAAGTTCTTCCTTTTAGGAACTCTTCATGCTACACTCCAGACACTTGGGGTGGCTCAACAACAGCTTTTGAACAGTATGTTTCTAAATGTTAAGTAAAAAAAAAGAGTATTGCAGATCTAAAGAAGTGTAGGATTGTAGCTACACTGTTTGCAACTTTAAATCCAAGGCAAGCAGAGGTTAAACAAAAGGTGCTGCTCATCTAACACAGCCTTGAAGAGGAAAATGGACTCCAGAACAGCACGTGGATGATGTGTTCAGTGAGAATCAACTAAAAGCAACTCTATGTGCCTAGTTTAGCCTTGATTAAGCATGGATTACCTTTCTTTGATCAAGCTGGGAATTATGAAGTAACACTGGTGTCATATTTGGATACAGTTTTACCATCACTCCAGAGTCTCTGCAACAGAAAACAGCATGGGTATTTCAAAAGAGGTTGGTAGAAATCTGCATCTGTTTTACTCTGCATATTGACCTCAAAGCAATCATCAGGAAACTTTTCATAAATGAGATTTTACTCTGTTTTTAAAAACTTTGGATCAACCATAACATGTCTTCAGGACAGTGTCTCTCAGGAATAAGTACCTCCAAAAAGTCCATGTGATTACAATCCAGTATTTGTCTTACAAAAAAGTACAAAGCAAATTCCCACCATCTCTCTGAGATACAAAGATGAAAAAAGGGCTTCAATTTTAATTTCTAGGGGTATTCTAGTAACTACACATGCAGCAAAAATAAAACAGCCTTATTAAGAAAAAAAAAGAGTAATATTTTCAATAGAAAATATCAGGAATGATGGAGGTGCCAATGGCACCAGCATAAGATTGGCACCCTTTAAAAACCAATTATTTTACATCATATTTAGGTATCACAAATATAACTATGTAAAAACCCATCTATTTCAAGTCCAGAGCACTTTTCATACCTTATTTCAGTTATTGTGGCTGTATAAACTGCACCAAATTCCAAATTAACTTCCTGCTGTAGGGGGAAAGAAAGAGAAAGAGTTAAGACACAAATGCACAAAATAGAAATGGCAAAAGCCAAGAGCAGAAGTCTGTCCTCACATCATCTTTGCAGATGTCATGGATGAATTCTCTTGCCTCGTGCATAGCACTGGGTGTGGGGGCAAACACAGAATATGTCTCCTCATCCAGCTGGCTCACTGTCACACCTTGGAAACACAAATAAATGAGAGGATTTAGGTGAACATTGCTTCTGTTTCAGCAGGCAGCAAAGCAACAACTGGCAAACAGCACAAGGATCCTGCACAGGCTCATCACAACCTCAGTCCTCATTTCCTATCCTCTGCAGATGAGGCTCTGGACAGCCTGACATGCAGCTGAATAAAAACCATGTTACAGGTAGGCTTGCCAAATAGCTGGACAAACTCACCTTCCATCCAGGAACACTGAGTTGTTATTATAATCCTTTTATGGTAGGAAAATTTTGGAAAGAATTTAGTTTTTTACAAATGAATCTCATCTTCTATGAAGGAATTTCACAGATACTCTCAATACAGCTATAGTTTTCATTAATAGCATTTCAGAACTAGAACATGAGGTTCTTTGCACCTCTAGACAAGTTTCTAGCCAACAGAGTGCATGGTCTTACAACCAAAGGGAAGTATTTTTCCTGCTTTTCTCCAGCCCAATCCCCTGAGAAGCTCCAACCAAGCTTAGCCAGAACATGAGAAGAGTTTCAAGTCCAAAGCAGCTGAAGCAGAACATCTGCTTGGTACAAATTAAAGTACCCTTTCCTCTTAATAGTTCTTCACATCTACTCATTAGGTTGCTGCTGCTGCAGCACTAACATCAGTTCCACAGGGGTGATCTACAGAACAATTTGGGAAGTTTCAATTTAGGTACTAAATAGTTTTTGAAAGGGCATAAAGACAGCATTAGGATTTAGCAATGGCTGTGCTAGTAATACCTGTGCTACCAAGATCCACTAATTAAAACTCCACAGCAGTAATATACATATAAAGAAGAGAGACTAGGCACACGTTAGGATAAATTACCACAAGCAGCAAGAGTGTCTTACCAGTCTGTGCTTGAAGTTTTTTCAAATTATAGGCCCCAGGACCAACAAATCTTAATCTCTTTGATAATGGAACATGGATAGTTTCTGAAAGAACATTTAAAAATACTTTGAAATGCTAAATAGAATGATCTAGAAAGCTATGACAAAACAGGAATCATTCTTTTAGAATTTCATCTTCTAGAGCCACTTGTATTATTTGCTGAACGTTGCTGCAATTACATTTAAGAACTGAAATAAATGAAAACACAAATACTTAGATGAGTCTAAATGACCTTAAATCATACCAATGCTCAGATCTGTATTGATTCTTATTTTTCTGAGTCTCACATGACTTCAGCTTAATTCTGATTTCTGGTGTCCAGTGAAACAGTAAAGTGCTGCCCCACATGGCAACAAAACCCAAAAATTCACCCCCAAAACCAAAATAACCCTGAGGGGTAGGGGCAGAAACATAAAACAAGTACACATAAAAAAAGCTGTTTTAAGCAGCAGCTTATTGTTTAAAAGTCAAGCATAAAAGACAGGAATTGATATCAATTACCTACAACTGGTCCACTTTCCTTTCTGTTAGGTCTGGGTTTGGCCAGAGTTTGGTTCATAATTTGCAAAATCTCCCTCTTTGCAGCTGTGGGGATTGCAGGAGGAGGAGAAAGGAAAAATGAGGAGTTTTGTAGATGATTAAAATGAAATTTATGCAGTTCTTGTTATAAAGCATAAACATCCATTCATAAGAATCTCTTGCCTAACTTGAGAATGTGTCACAGTAACTAGACACATTTCAGGTAGTGCATGTTTGGTGTAGTACAAAGCTCTGCCCTGTGTGTACAAAATCTATGCCTTCAGCACATTTATTGATTTTATGCAGCCTAGAACATCCCACAGGGCTCTGTTTCAGTGTATCACTGACACAAATCAGAGTGCTGGTGAAAAGCAACAGGGTGCAGCTTAGATCAGTTACCATACACTGGCCTGGAACTACAGCTGAGCTGCTGGAAGGGATCCACCACTGCACAGGAATTACTACTTCTATTTTATTAAGACTTTTCTTACTAAAGTCTTGCTATTACAATCAAGTTGAATTTTTTTTCCTCTTAGAACTAGTTGAATCTTTACAAAAGCTTGTAGCTTCAGTTTTCCACATGGCTCCAGTGCACAGGAATTACTACTTCTCCTATTTTATTAAGGCTTTTCTTACTCAAGTCTTGCTATTACAATCAAGTTGAATTTTTTTTCTCTTAAAACTAGCTGAATCCTTAAAAAACCTTGTAGCTTTAGTTTTCCACATGGCTCCAGTCAGCCTTTCCTACCTGTGTTTTTGACAGGGGATTGAGCTGTTGGATCTCTACCATGATGATCCAGGCTTCTACTTCAGCTCCATGGTCTGAAGTTACTTGAAAGTTAAAACTAAGCTCCAAAATAACAACAGAAAAAATAACAGGGAAGGGCCTGGTTTTTGGGGGGTTGAATGCTCTCCTCTGACACAAAGAAATTCTGCCTGAAGTGCCTATTCTGTAAAGACAACACCCAAACCAGACCAAACAGAAAAAATAACAGGGAAGGGCCTGGTTTTTGGGGGGTTGAATGCTCTCCTCTGACACAAAGAAATTCTGCCTGAAGTGTCTATTCTCCTGTAAAGACAACACCCAAACCAGACCAGTTTTTTGAAGATAGCAGCTTTTCTCCACAACAAGAAAAAAAAAGTAATTATTTCTTTTCATAAAACTTAGGAGTTTAATACAACTTATCATTTAATATCATAAAAAGGGTGCAGAGACAAAGACAGACCTACCTGTAGCTTGCTGAATAGCTTCCATTACAATTTTGATTGGTATTCCTGGCAGTTTTAGATCAACCTAATATGGAAAAAAAAGTTAAGTTCCATCAATATGCAAGGAAAGCTTTTGTAGATACATTCCCAGAGTTCCATTTTAGGAAGACTGAATGTTACAATACCTGCAGGGCAGTTACTCCTTTGTTAGTACCTGCCATCTTGAAATCCATGTCACCATAGTAATCTTCAATGCCCTAGCAGCACAGACAGAGAGAAGGAAATTGGAGTAACTTTATCCCACCCAGTGTCACCTCTCATTATCCAAAAAGTCCATTCTGTGCTTCAATCTGCCACAAAATGGTTCTGCAGACTTGAAATGACTTCTGAGCCTCACATGTTTTTCATCAGCCTGATTTTGCTGTTCAGGATTAACACTGTGCCTTTCTCTCCTCATCAATTAAGAGCTTTTCTGGACTAGTTTTGGAACAAGAGATTCACAGCTGATTTTGTACTATCAGCAGCTGCCACAGGAAAAAGCAACAGCACAATAATGGGCATTTTTTCTCCCCAGCAACTTTGCCAGGTGCTCAATCTCCATCCAACACATTGTGGTTTTCAGTAAGTTAAAGTATGCAAGCAGTATTAATCTCTTCCTCCCAAGAGAAAAGACAAAATTCTTTGGAAAGAGGGAGCTTCTGAGAGCTTAAAAGAAACAACTTGAGTGATTACAAAAAAAACTAAGAAACATGACTGGACATTTCACAGAGATTTTTCTCAATGAAGAGAGGAGTTTGGGAGACAAAACAGAGAAGATAAAACCATGTGATATTTCCAGTAGCCTATGTTCCAGAATTAACTGGGTAAAACATGACAAAAAAAGGCCACAGAGGGTATTTTACAGAATTAAACAGCACTAAAACCAGCCATGCCAGAAGCACTCACCAGGATGTCTGTCAGCAAGCGATAGTCCTCAATGTCTCTCTTCTCCAGATTGCTTTTGGTGATGAGACCTATTGCTACCCCTGCCACTGCACTTGATACTGGAACTCCTAATAAAGGTAAATGAAAACATTTTATAAGCTTTGGCCATCTCCAGATCCTGTTCCACATCCTCATGTGTGTTTTATCCTTTTAAGCAACGTGTTTTTTGTACCTGCATCCATTAATGCCAAACTTCCACCACATGCAGAAGCCATGGAAGATGACCCTACAGAATTAGAGTAGGGGGGGGAAAGAAGTATTAAAAATTGACCAGAAGTATCTGAAACAAAACATGCCAGTGATATTCTTCACTAACAGTCTGACAATTAAGTTGCTGCTAGCTAGAAGATACTGTGCAGCAACACACAGGCTACAATAAATCACTGCAATTAGAGATCTTCTCTAATCTCTCAGTTTGAATCTCTCATGATCTTCAGCCCAAAAAAGCTCAACAACTAAATATTCTAGACAAGGAATCTGTGGATTTCCCAGGAAGCTGCAGTGGGACTCCTTCCCCTCCTTCACTACTGTGCTGTTACACAAATTGAAAGAAAGGTCCATTGTTCATGACCATAAACATCCTTTTCAAGTACTTCAGGTAACAGAGCTATTAAGGTTAAAAATGAAATCAGTTATCTAAAATGCCTACAGCTCAACTTTGTCAAACTCAAGCTTTTTTAAGAACTGAATTTAGTCCCTAGCAGTAGGTACAAGACAATCATGATACCATTTGACTCCAAGACTTCAGAAGTAACTCGTATTGTGAATGGGAAATCCTGGGGAATAACTGGTTTCAAAGCTCTTTCTGCCAGGGCACCTGTTCAAAAAACAAAAACACCACAAAATAAATACAAACAGTTGGAGAAAATATTAAAACTTAGAGCATGGAACTTCTCCAGTCTCAACTTACCATGCCCAAGCTCTCTTCTGTTCATACCAGTAACTTTGCCAATCTCATTAGTTGCATAAGGTGGAAACTATGAAGTTAAAAAAAAAGGAAAAATCAGATTTTTTGTTTCTTAATTTTAGATCATAGACTGAGAAAAAAATTCTTTGTGTTTTGATGCATCTCAAAATGAAAGGAAATTTAAAAAACCCACAAAAAACCCCACATGACAGAATTCTATTAGTCACTTAGCTGGCAAAGCAGGGGCAGTTTAGGTGGGGTTTAGTACATGTTTTACTTCCACAGAACTAAAGAGAATAAAACAGTTGCAAGGTAGTTGGAGAAAAAAAACCCCCACACATAACAAGCTTACTCCAATTAAACCTGTCAAACAACATATCAGAAATCCTGTTTCTGTCACCCACACCTGGAACAAGATAGGCCTGTTGCCTCTATGAAATACTTGGGGCAAATCCCAAAGGCTGAGAGAGCTCCAAGATATAAAAGCACTTATTTACTACTGCTATAATATGTCAGCTGAGCATATTAGAGCTTACTAAAAATAACAGAGCAGGTTAATCCTGTTTTCAGTAATAACTCATTTTTAAGGAGCTAATGTAATATTAAGATATTAAAAAAAGACTGTCTAAAATTGCAGTTTATCCATTAGGTAGTGTGTAGTAAGAAACCAGCACTTCTCTTCATAAACAGCAGGATAAATTCACATAAAAATTAGTTTTAGCCAATCTAGAGATCCATTTGTATCCTCAGAAGCAATTCTATTTTTAAAACCAAAATGTGAAGCCTTTATTTGAATCATGCAGAAAACTGACACAGTAAAACTCTCACCTCATAATGCAGCATGAAGTTTTTATCTTTTATCCCACTATTAATTAAAAACAAGATGATGTCAAAAGAGAGCAGCCAAAGTTCTTACACACAGCAGATAACACACATGATTCTATTCAGTTATGCTTACAACAAACCCAGCAAAAAACACAAATCCATCCATTTTCCCCAAGGTTTTCTAGGTAGTAAACAAAGAAAAACACTTCATGTGTTAACCACCCTCATTAAAGCAGTTTCCCTGCCTGTTCAGAGGAGAACAGGATCTATCAGCTCCTTATGCTGTGTGTCTGAAGGAAGGAAAAAATGAAATAGAAATTCAGACTCTAAGAAAATCAGCATCTTGCTGTACAGACTGCAGGAAAACCTCAGAAATAAGTGCTCAGAAGGGAAACTGAAAATCTCTGTAACCACACAGGAGCTCTTGATTAAATAAAAAACCTGCACTCAAAAAAAAGTTATCAAGTACCACAAGACTTTTAGCAATAAATACAAAAAACTAATCTTATAAAGAAAGTTGCTTCAAGTCAAGACTTGCCTCTAGTTCCATCCAGAGACAATCTCTCATTCATGAAGCAATCTAATGACTGCTCATTAAACTCCATTATTTAACAGAAACTAATTTCCAAGAATATTAAAATTGCAGAATATGGACAAAAACCTCTAGGCTAAAAAAAAAACCCCTGAACTAAAGCAAAGCAAACACACTAAACTGTAAAAGCTCCCACACTTGGTGGGCTGACATCACTGAACTTGAAAGAGAAGGAGTTTCCTCTCCCCAAGTTCAGCCTCAGCAATAAAATGTTTGCTATATGGACCCAGTTTTACAGATTCAAGAGTAATTTGCTCTTTTCTTGCTCTCAAAACCAGGCTGGATGTTATTTGTAATAATTTTCCTATTCCAGTTGTCTGTCTTATGGAATTAAAGTCAACCTAAAAAACAGCTGCCAAGATCTCCTGAAAAAGAGGCCACTTCAGAAACTCATTTTACACATTTTTCAGTCCTAATGGACACCTGTTGAAGGCATTTCTCTGAGTTGTGCTGAAATGCTCACCCCTCTTATTGCCACTCAGCCCAGGAGACACACATACCTCACTGCTGTTGAGATGACATCTGATTTTACACTTGATTCTAGGGAGTCAAAGGTAACTGTACACAGAACCTACAACAGAAACACCAAGGGTAAATAGGCTGCTCTTCAACACTTCTGTGTCACAACTCTTCCTGGTTATGAAGAAGGAAAAACCCCAAAATTTCAGCAACAAATATGTCATCACCTCCCACTTCTGCAAACTCTTTTCCCTCCCTTCATCACACAAACTTCTTTGCCCTCTGTGAAGATTATACCAACTTCCAAGTGATCACACTGAAAAATTCTCATTTAATACTCCTTAACCTGCTAGGAGCCTAGAATAGTTTGTTCACCAAGGCACCTAACTCCTTTGTGTAAGGGCCAGGGCCTGATCCAGCTGTGATGCTGTGGAAAAACAACTCTGTTTATCACATGGAATTGCAGCATGTGTTATTTTTAGTGAGGTAATTGGGGACAACACTGAGGAGTAAATCACTGTTTGCAACTACACATGTATCCTGTAAGAAGTCAGATCAATGGCTGACAGTCTTCCAGGAAAATGAGCTATAAAAATGCAGATCAAACCTTGCATACAATCTTAATTCAACCCAGCCATCATCTGATATTTTTGTTAAAGAAAGAAAATTCTAATTGATTTTAATTTTTTTTGGTAAAATTTCCCTATTTTGTCCAGATTATATATGAAATTTCTTCTAAAAGATTTCACATGACACACACAAATTAGCACTGCCCTACACACCAACGACCTATTAATCAAGTAACCTGTTTTCCTAAAACTGAACAGGATTATAATTGTTGAAACAAAAGCTTTTCATGTAAAAAACCTTAACACAGAAGTCTATGTGGATGAAGACAGGATTTTGGACTTCTTATTAACAACCTACTGTACTTTAGGCCATCCTGAACTGGAAAGTTTTCTTCCCAAACCACCTCCCTGCCAGACAAAACCCAACCCACCAACAATGCCCCAAATCTGCCAACCTGAAATGAACAAGGAGAATCCTTACAGCAGCTAATTTTGGTGACCTGAGACTGTTCAGGAAGTCTGAAGACACAGTGAATCTTCTCAGACTCCTGGGCACACACACTCAGGAATGTCAGGATAACATCTGTACTGTTCATTCAGCAAGAAGCCAAGCTTTGTCTGCTGTCTTAGTGGACTCAAATCTATTTTAATTAAATCTAAATAATTTACTAGTTATTCCTGTTTGATTATGAAAACTTCTGTTTAAATTAAAAACACAAAACTTTCAGCTTTTGATAATTTATAATTCCTGATGTTTAAAGGTATTACCTGTGTTTGACCTCTCTGAAATAAGGCTGATCCATGCAGCATTTTAAACATGTTCACTTCACATTTAATATCTCTGAGGGAAGTCAAATCTCTCCCATCACACCTAAAGTTAAACAAAATTCATGAGATCAATGAAACGTGGATAAAAAGCTGACAGAAATATTATTCAGTAGGATTTTGATACACTCACCTTCTATATTCATTCAGGACAAGATTTCTAAAAATATCCTTTGAAACCACAGTGAAAGATTCCATGATTTCATAAGGCTCAGCCTCTGGAAATTTTTCTGGGTGTGAAAACAAGAAATTGCAGCTGAAGTTGGAAAATTAATGAAACGTTCACAAAAACATGAAGAGCAAAACAAAGAGCAGACAGTGACTAAGTAACTAAGTAACTAAGCAGTGCCAACTCCACTTAAGCACTCTCTAAATATTAAGAAAGAAAACAATACCTTTCAGCTGTTCTTCTGTTTCAAGCCTTATTTTGTTAATGGCTTCATCTCTAGAAATCTAGAAGGCAGGATTGGCAAACAGTTAACTCTACAGGGCAGAACAACAAGAGGTTTGGGCTGCTGGGGTTTGGTTTGCTTTAAAATTCTGTAAAACCCAAGGAATAGGAATGTCACACAGACTCAAAGATCAGTACTGTACTGCTAACAAATATCCTGGTACAGAAAAATTTACAGAACAATTTGTTATTACTATGGCAAATATATGCAGAGGAGGATGAGAGCTTTTAACATCACAGAAATGAAAACTTCCTGGTTTCATTATGATATTTAGAAGTGGTTTTATCATGTTTGGATTGAATACTTACTTTATCATGGCTAGAATCTGTGAACACTGCATAGATCTTGTCAGAAGCAAGTCTTTTGGAAGAAAAGAAAGAATTTTTGAAAACACAGCTGAAGACCCACTGATACAATTACTTTCTTTTGAGGAGTCCTTGTTTTCATCAGCAGAATGAAAGCACCAGATGGACATTATGGACATCACAAGCTCCAGCCTGCCAGCTCTCCTGCCACCTCTCTGCAATTTGGGAGCCTTGCTGGGGAAGTGGTGAAACAGGCCAGCATCCCAAATTTTCTTGTTGCCACTCCACAGGAATGGAATATTAACTCACAATATTCTCACTGGGCTTTCAGGTGTTTGTTTTGCCCCATTCTTAGGAAGTACAAACCAGAGAGCTGAAGGTTCCCCAGGTTCCCATGGCAAACACAGCAATTCTGACCTGTTATTTTGTTAAATAAACTCCCCAAACTACCTGATCAGAGCTTGTCAAATTAAATAACTGTTAACTAAGCATTCTGAGGCACTCAGTAGGATTTAGATCAAACCCACTCGTTCTGAACTTACTTCTTTGCATATTCCACAATCTCTCCAGGAGCAGTAAATAACTTTGGAACAGTCCTCTTGACAACTCCTTGTTCTTTCACTAGCTGTTGAATTCCCTGGATGATCTGCTGGGTGTGCTTCACCCCAACTTTGATGGCATGACAGAAGTCTTGCTGTAATATGTTCTCAGCAGTTGCTTCCAACATGACTATCAATGGAAAATTAAATATTAATTACCATTTTATTGTTCAGTAGGAATCTGACTGAACTGAGGAAACACAAATTCACATTAAACTACATGAATGGAATTTACCTAACCTATCCCTGTTCTTTCTTTACTCAACAGTAGGAATAAACAACTGTCAAAGATTAGGAAAATATCTTCAAGGAGGCACCCACTTGATTTTCAAACCCTCCAAGATTCATAATTAACCTACTTACCAACTTGATTTTGTGGAGCTGCAGCCACAACTAAATTTAAAGCACTGGATGACATCTGCTTCCGAGTTGGATTGATGATAGTTTCTCCATCCACCAATCCCACCCTCACTGCACCTACAAAGAAACCCCAGAAAATCATGATTATTATTATAAGGAAGTTCTTTAAGGCATCATTTTACTTTGGAAATGATACATCTAAACCAAAGAGTTAAACCTATGGTATTCATTTTAAAATATCAGCCTACTAGCTATAAATGAAGAAAAAAAATCTCTAAGGCAAAATTATCTATTCCTGTATTTATTTCGGGCAAGGCAGACAGTGCCAAGCAGGATTACACACCAGGCTCTAAGTCTGTTGGGTTTTTTTAGTCATTTGAACACATTTTCTAGGGGAAAAAAACCCACAGGCAGGTGAAAGGAAAATACAGCTGAATATTTGTTCTTGGCTAGATCACTTCTCTTCCTAAAAAAAAAAACCATTCACAATGAAATGGAGTTCTTGAGTTCCTGGAGAAAAAGGATTCTGTATTCTTATCCTGCTTTTCAAGACTTTCTCTAAAGAAAAAATGATCTGTCTCTATACTATCCTATTTCTGGATTATAAATCCTTCTAGATTTACATTTAGTCCAGGAAGAATAATGCTTTGAAATTCAACCATCCCTTGTAAAACTATTTTCAACACTTCAAACAAAAAATAGTGGACTTTAGATTCAGATTCCTGCTAAAAAACAAGGATGAACTGCTGTCTAAACCTTTCAGTCTGTTTAAATCATCCATCATTCTGAAATAGTCACTTACCAATGGGACCATTCCATGGGATATCAGACAAGGCAAGTGCTGCAGAAGCTAGAATGAAGAGAGAGAAAAATCTGCATTAGGAAAAAAGGGATCCTGTTAAATCACACACACAGAGTCACTTTTAACAGCCCTCTTACCTCCATTAATTGCCAGGACATCAGGATCATTGACACCATCTACTGCTAAAAGATTACAAAGGATCTGGCATAAGATAAAAGACAAGGAATAATTTTGACCTATGTGTTTTTATCAGCTGTCAACACAAAGCTCAGGACAACACAACAGAACTCTGCACATACTGATCCAAGCCCATGCTGCAGATGAAAACTTGTTCAGGTATTTAAGAAGTTCACAAAAACCCCTCTAATATATAATATCATGCAATATATACCATTTGCCTGCCTTTCCTCTGTACAACAGAGGCTGTTTGACTTCTGTTCCTGTATCCCTACAACAAAATTTGGAAGGCAGCATGTAATAAAAGTCATTCAAGAGAAGGACATGGCCAACATCACAGCAGCATTACACTATTAGACTGATTTTCAAAGTGTAAACCCCTCCTGGCTGCCAACAAAAACTGCTTTTCATGAAACAGTGCCTGTGTCATGTGGCTTTTTCCTTGACATACCCCAATTTTCTGTTCTGAAGGTAGCTGTAGTTAGGGGCAGGGAGCAGGACCTACCTGAGTGTCATAGAAGTAGCCTGCTGGAAAGAGGGGTCTGATGGATCGATCTGCAAAAAGAAACACTTAAGTCTGAGAGGGATTTGGTTTGCAGAGGTCAGTGCTCAGCTTGTTGTCTAATAACCCCACAAGAAGCTGACAAAATGGCTCAAATTAAAGACCCCAACAAATGAGGAAAGGCAAAGAACCCAGAAGGAAGTTTAATGCGACCTAAAAATCAACTCTAAAAGTTCAACAGTGCTCAAAGAGTATTTGGGTGAGCAGGGAACACAAAGTGCAAACCCCAGGGAAAGTCTTCTATGATTTAGGATACAAATAATCCATTAAATAGTACTTCAGAGATACCTTAAGTGAGGGGACATGTTCCTCAGACAGAGAAAAGCACCAAAACCACCTAAGTTCAAAATATCCCATAATTCCCATGATGTGGAGATGACCTGTTAACTTTGAGTTAACAAAGTTAATTCCCTCTCCTAATTCTTTTCATTGCTGCCTTCAGGTGTTGATGTGTTTGACATCAGTTCTATACAAATGTTGAATTTCAAGGTATTATCTTATTGATGCCTGGAGAGAGCCACAGTGGAGATGAATTTTCAAGCAGGATCAAGAAGGAAAGACTGAGTACACATGACTCTGCCCCTTTACTGAAGAGCTCAGCCTGGTTCTCTCTTCCAACAGGGTTAACATCTCTGGAGAGGTGACACCTCTGCAGTTAGGATGAGATCTTAACAGCCACAAAGGTGACAAGAGGATTTCTCAAGATCCAGGATTATCTATAAAGAAACATGCCCACAGCCCCAGCTGACATGTTGCTTAAAAAACCATCTGTACTAATAAACAATATTTTAAATACATGGGAAATAAAATATTCCAGCCTACCTATTACTCTGCTTGTAAGAATTTCCTTATCAGTGGAGCCAAGTTCTCTTCTCAGGTAGTTTGTAGGGATTCTTCCTGCTGCAGCAGCTTTCTGACGATAGTCAACCTTTCAGAAACAAAGCAGAGAGCCCTGGAGACAACAGATCCCTTCAGAGCCACCCAACCAGGCCACGTGGAAGGGAACCTCCAAAGGTCTACAGCCCGAGCCCCTGCTGTGAGCAAGGTCAGCTCTCAACTCAGAGGACATGATTCAAAGCTCTGTCTTGATACCCAGCTGGATCTAGCCCATTTTACAGCATATATGGACTGCCCAGTCAGCCAGTGCTGAACTGGTACAGTTTACAGCCCAAATTTAGGGATCTATGTTTACCCTTGGAGCATTTCAGAAGGTTCCTCTTGGCCCATTCCTCCAGCCCTTGGTCCCTCCAGAGGGCAGCCCCACCTACCAGTGCATCACCTGCACCTCCTGCTGCTAACTCTGCCACCCACGACCACAAAACTCATGCTGTCATTAGTACTCACCACTAATGGCATGAACTGGGAGGCAGAGGGCTTCGTTTTGCTGACTGCTGTGACCATGACTGCTGTGTCCCCCAGCTGCATTGAGGGGGGAAAAAGGAAAATTTGAAATCACCTGCAACTAAACCTGTTGCCTGAAGTGCTAAACTTTCCCACAACCCAAAACTCCAGAAGGCTCTTTGCAGAAAACCACCACAGAAATCCATGCCTCATGCCAAGATTTCTGCTTTTCTAACACAATATCTTCTTTCAAAACACAGGTTCATGTTCCCTAGGGATCAAACTGCCACCAGAGGCTCTGAGGCCCTGACAGTGACTCTTCAGAGCCACGAATTTTGTGGCTGCACAAGCTGTAAGATTTTTTTCAGGATTGTTTGTTTGTTTTTTGTTGGTTGGTTTGTTTTTCCTTACCTGAACAACAGCAGATCCATCAGCAAACTTGGCAAGTTTTCCAGAAGACACTTCCATCTTCCTGTCGGGAAGGAATAATCCGTTACTCAGGGTGAACTTTATCGGATAAACCTCCCGGTAACGTCTTCGTTCCCCTGCGGCGCCAGCAGCGCAGAGCGCGGGCCGCGCTTCGCACCGGACAGAACCCCCCTCCGTACACAGAGAAACCGAA